GGGGGGGGGGGGGAGAGGGACGGCATTGGAGCAAAGGGGTTCGAGTGTAATTTAATTTGAAATGCAGACTGACACACGCCGGCGTTTCCGGCTAAAGGGATTAAACGCGGACGTGCGTCGCGTGCCGAGCACTTATTCCCTCTGTCTGTTCAGGCGGGAGAGAGGAGAGAGCGGGAGAGCGGAAGGGAGGAGAGGGGGAGGAAGAGCGATGAGCTAATTGCAAATCCCTTAATTGCTCGTCAGAAAAAGTCGACCGCGCCGTGAGACGTCGTCGCGCGCTCCTCGGCGCGTTCGCCACGTTCTGAATGTAAAGTGACCAGCGCGCGGCGCGTACAGTCGGCGTCACGCAGTCGCACCATTCCTCAGGTCGAAACTTTTTGCCGTAACATAGTTTTCAGCCTTCGTATTATAGGCAAAAGGTGGCACGGAGGCGGGTAATTTGCTGATTTGTCTACGTTAATGAGAAACAGAGTCAACGCCCAACTCATTAGAAGTGTTTAATACTAGTGATAAATAATCTGTCGTAGTTTGATTTCAATCGGTCGACGACAGTAGATAATATAATAAGAAGTATATTCTGAATATATTTGAATATATCTATATTATTTATATTTATATTTCACTTGAATTTATATGCAACTTTGCGGCGTTTCTTCACGAAGAATCATACAATTGTAGTAATATTTCTGTTTGTATTTCAGTTTATTTGTATTTCATTGTGTTATACAGACATTATAATGGCAAAGTAATATAAAGAGTGATATAAAGATATTGTGGAGATTGCATTTTCCGCATGCACTGAAGAAATTTATTTTTAACTTCCATCATTTTACTTATTACAGAAATGCGATATAACGAAACTCACACGTTCTCAAAAAAATTACATTAAACAAAATTCCAACTTATTTGTAAATTTTTCAGCAAGGCTTTATCCGCTCGGATAAAAAAAAAAGGCGAACATTATTACGTGGCTACAAAAGCGAGAAAAAAATTGACAAACTTTAAGATTATCATCTCATCCCCCTTTCACCTGTACGTAAGGTCGAAACCATTACAATTAGAGCTATTTGTAATCTTGCCGTTATAACCACTTTCGCAATTTTCAAACATATATTTATACATAAGGCAGAGGGGAAAATCGTATAATTCTGTTTAAGGAACAGTACACATGACGCCGACTGTACTGTCCGCCGGCGGGCGAAGCGAGCCGCGGCGACGTGCGTCGCGTTGCATCGCGTGCCGCGCGCGGAGAGGACGACTACGCGATTGTCGTCGCGCATGAGAAAACGAAAACAATTACTGTCCTTCGGCCGACGGCGATGCAATTAAGTAGCGGCCGCGCTAATCGCCGCTGTCGTTGGAATTGAAAACGCGTCGTTGCCTTCGCACGCCGCGTACCGACGAGGTGCGGCGAAATCGCTCGGTCCGCCGACGAGGAGATATCGGGCGCGATCGATAAGCCCGGAAAATGGGACGCAAAATGAAACAATACGTAAATCGAGGCGAAACGAGATCCCGGAGAAAACCAGAAAATAACCAGAGATCAAGCGATATATCGATGCTTCCCCGCCGGGTCCTCCGACCGTTGAAACTCATATTTTTCGACGTTTCATACAAACGCGCGTCCGTGCGCCCCCCCCCCCCCCCCCCCCCCCCCCC